AGGTGCAGTGGCGTGCATCTGTAATCCCAGCGTTTTGGGAGGCTGAAGCAGGACTGCTAGTTCAATGCCAGCCTCAGCAATTTAGTGAGACCTTGTATCAAAAAAAAAGGGCAGGGGGGGCAGGAATATAGCTCAGTAGTAGAGTACCTCTGGCTTCAATCCTCCCAGCACCAAAAAAAGAGGGGGATACTGTTGAAAGAAAAAAGCCTCATGGAGAAAATATTGATAAAACATGCCTGGTAAAGGTGTCGTATCCACATTATAACAATTACTATCATATTAGAAAGACGAAACATAAACAGAAAATTCAGTTACCATCTCCTTTTCAAACTTACAAAGATAAAACATGGGTTTTTGTTCAGTAATAAGTGTGAAACATGGGTAATCCCCTATATTTATGGTGAAACTTTTTGGAAGTTTGGAAGGGAAATTTGCCAGTATGCACCAGATCTAAAACATATTCATCTCCCTTAATATGTTACTATTTTGGTGATAACTGGGGATTAAAACCTGGAGTGCTCTAGCACTAAGCTACATCCCAGCGCTTTTTAAAATTTGAGACAGGTTCTCACCAAGTTGGGATTCACTCACCTCAGCCCCTCAAGCCACTGGTGATTGCAGTCACGTGCCATCACACCCCATTAATACATTATTTTTTGGAATATATCCTAATGATTCTCACACCAAGATTGCTATATTCACTATTCCAGTATTCTTACTTGAAAAAACAAAAATGTCAACAGGGACTGGCTAACTAATGAGATAACTGAGGCATTGTAGTCATGAAAATCTTGGTTTCAGAAAATATGAGAAACTGCTTAAGGTATAAATATTAAGTGGAGAATAAGACATGTAAATATGTTGTGTCTAAAAGAGCAAAAACACATGAAAATGTGATTATTATTTTCTCTGAGTAACAAAATTACTTTTTTTGGGGGGGTGGGGGTGGGGGGCTGTGTGCTGAGGATGAAAGTCAGGGTCTATTGCATTTACCAGGTCTAGGTAAATGCTCTTGGTGGCATTTTTTTCCTACCTTAAAAACAGAAGTCCAAAACAATATGCATTCAGAATACTATTTAAAAATATTTTTTAGTTGTAGATGGACACCGTACCTTTATTTATTTACTTTTCTGTGGTGCTAAGGATCGAACCCAGGGCCTCACATTTGCCAGGCAAGCACTCTACCACTGAGCCATAACCCCAGCCCCCAGAATACTATTTTATAAGGAATTTAGAGATTTGAGTTAATGTGCAAAATAAAGTTCCTGGTCTCCTTGTAAAGGTGAGAGGTGTTTAAAATGATACACAGGGTATGATTTTGCTAACACATAGTCTGAAAGAAAAGTGTAGCTCAAAAGTCTTTTTTTGGCAGGAGTGTACCAGGGATGAGCCACAACCCCAGCCCTATCTTGTATCTTATAGAAACAGGGTCTCACTGAGTTGCTTGGCCTTGCTTCAGTGCCCGAGTTCTGGGATTACAGGCATGTGCCATCCCGCCAGGCTGGAACAGTCTTCCAATTACATTTTTACCTCTTTCCAAACAAGGTCTGACCACACAAGAACTTTACTCCAGTCATGTTGAATAGTGGTTGTATTGGGAATGTAAAACTTGGTTTAAAAACCCCAATTTGTTTTTTAAACATAAAGCTCTTCTAGTATAGAAACAGAACTCCCAGGTCTATGTTCTCAAAAATAAGTTATAAATTCTGTTCAAGACTTAACCTATGCCCCCCTAGCTGGAAAGTCCTTGAAGAACTCATAACTATTCAAATATAAAGGTGCAGTAAGTAGAATACTGTAAAAGCAGGACCAATGAGTTTCCCTCCTCTGACCACCTTTTAATGATAGTATTATCATTTTGTGGTACTAGGGAACAAACCAACACCTTGATCATGCTACTTTCGCACTCTACCACTGAACTGTGTACTTAGTATTTAGCTCTAGTTACTTTGTTTTCCCAAATCCTTTTTTTTTTCCCTATAAAAACTCAGTTTTGCTGAGTGCAGTAATTCCATAAATTTGGGAGGCTGAGGCAGGAGGGTCACAAGTTTGAGGATAGCTTCAGCAAATTGGTGAGGCCCTAAGCAACTTAGCAAGACCCTGTCTCTAAATAAAAAGGGGTTGGGAATGCAGCTCAGTGGTAAGGCACCCCTGAGTTTAATCTTCTACCAAAAAATCAAACCAACACAAAACAAAACCCTAAACTTTGCATTGCCTTTTGTTGGACATGCACTGTACCACTGTATGGTGGATATTTTCAAGTTAATACTTTAAGCCTGCATCAAGTAGAAGTTTAAATTCGAATAGAGAAAGAGGTTGCCCAATCTAATATCACTGTGTAAAAAAACATTGAAACAACTGAATTATTAAAAATGTCGAACTCAGTGGTAGGTAAGGAATCTTTACCATCTTAAAACACTCGGACCATAGGTTAATAAAAGATCTAATGAGAGTAATACCCAAGTTGTAATCTGACTCATATGAATAATTAGGAAATATGAAGTAAGGTATGTTTCCAAGACTTTTGGGGGAGGAATGTAAACAACTTTCTAAACATGCTCGCTTATGCACGCTCGCTCTCTCTCTCTCTCACACACACACAGCTTGAAGTACCATCTGAAAAGAGATACTTAAAATAGTGATATTCTCAAATACAAAAGAAACTTGATTCTTGATCACCTATCTTATTCTGCTTTTCTTTGTGGTACTGAAATGAAGACCAAGGGTGCTTCAGCACTGAGCTATACCCCTGTTGACACATGTAAGTTGCTTAAGCTGTCCTTCACTCGTGATTCTCCTGCCTCAGCCTCCATAGTTGCTGGTTAGTTACAGATGCCACAATGCCCAGCACCTTTCCAGTTTTTATTTTTTGTGGGGGTGGCACTTGTGTTCTTCCTGAAGTGTACATAATTATCTCTACTCCAATTTATGTGAAGTATAAATAAGATGTTCCAGCAATACTCCCAAAGAAAATAATTTAAATTTCACTTAAAAAGCTTTTATCAGTACTCGTCAGCTTTTACATACACAATATTCTAGCAAACACATTACTCTTATAGACTAAAAGAAGCTCAGTGTTCATGTTTCCATTTTCTTTAAAAGCATATCTACCACAATTAACTCAAATTAAGGTTTAAAAGAAAACTCAATTTTGTAAAAGAAAAAAGTGCATGAATGCATTTTTTTTAACTCAAGAGACTAAAGGCTTCACAGAAGTTTAATACCTGGTAATTATTTGTCATATAAAAATGTGTTTATATTTATAAATTAACTATTCTTATTGCCCAGCCACCAAGTAAAGATCTAAGAAAATTAATAGAATGAAATTTCTTCTACCATAATCTTTTGAAAAAGGTTAAGGGAAAGACTGTATTAGTGGCAAGAGAATAGGAAATACAAGCAACTTGACAAGACTAAGTTTATTCTATAATTTTTATTAATAAAAAAATTAACCATGACCATATAAAATGAGTGGCTGGGCTTATAGTTTGCTACACCAAAGAAATTAAAAAATACTTGAGATAATGTTACAATAATTTATAATAGCATTCCCTTGATAGAGGCATTTTAATTTTAGCAATTGTTTCTCTTAAATATATAAAACTAATCTTTAGTGTCATGGATGAGTATCATCATAGCTACTGATGAATAAAAAGAGAATTTCCAAGAGCTTTCTCATGGTTTTATCTCAAGACATACAACCAAACTGCAGGGAAACCACCTCCCAAAAGGATCTTCTTGAAAGATACCCATTCAGAAAACAGAACATTATTAATATTTCTGTTAGGGGAACATCCCACTTGCAAATCAAGTGTGAAGAATAAATAACACAAATTAGGAATGCACCCCCAAGGCCCCCAAATCAATTAGTAAAAGTGCCATTAAGAATTATCAGACATATAATCAATGTGTTTAAATACAAATTCAAAATTTAACTCCAAAAGATACAGTGATTTTATTACATAAATTTTTTGTGTGCTAAAAATGTTAACTTACAAGATATAATAATAATATTTGCATAAGTGTATAGGGAATTACGGTGGGACTGTTTGATCATTTTTTCACTGTTGAAGATGAGAACAATAAGTAGTGGAAATATAAGCACTCGAGTCCTCTACATTCATGGCTCTTATATTACTGCTCAACCAAAATATACGACCATTCTTTAAGGATATAAATGCCTGCTCAATTCATCTTTTAAAAATAAAGTCCATTTTTTTCTTTCCATTAAAGCTTCTGCAGGACTGACAAAGGTACATTCCACCTATTAAAAACAGGGGTCATTTTCATCTTTGGATAAGGTGTCACCACGTAGGGAAAGCACAGTCACAGATTACTAAATTTTTATTTGAGGCAGCAGTTGGAGTCCATTAAGCACTTTTTGAACACTGTACCTTTAAAAAAGTTTTTCTTTAATGTAGCTTTGGGAAACCAAAGAAAAATATCTATGGCAAAGTACAACTCATTCTGATTTGACTGCAATAAAATACAAAAACAAAACCAAAAAATAGTGCAGTGTCAATTTAACCTATGGAATCACTCAACATTAGTTTTCTGTTCTACTGAATAACAAAAAGAAAAAAAAAAAGCTTAACTTGTTAAAAACATTTTTAAGTCTTTGAATTAATATTTAATAAGGCAAAAATTAAATTAAGCACTATAAAAAGTCTTTAAAAATGAAATTCTACAAATTTGGTTCTCATTTACAACAATTTCATTAACAGAAAATGGGTTAAGTATAGATACAATGTATCCAATACCCTCATAACTACAATAAAAAACACTAGTAGCATTTATAGATTGAAATCCTTAATACCAATATGTATTCAAACCATGTTCAAATAGAACACCTGTTCTTTCCCCATGTAGAAGAAAATGTTACAAATAATTAACAAAATACCAATAAAACAATGGAAACCCAATTTCATTTCACTGCGCCCAAGGGTATGACACAAAATACTGGCTTAAAGAGGTAGATTTAAAAGAAAAAGAAAACCAGATTCTCCATTCTTTGTCACTTTTATTCAGTAGTAGTTTTTTTTTTTCCTTATTTTCAGTGCCAGACATGGCAAGGAGTGATTACAGCCAACTGTTATTAGAACATTTGTTCGCAACATATACCCCCTTTATCACTGACCCCAAACTGACTCATTTTGTGTGTGCTTTCGTTCTTTCTTTCTTAATATACCACCACCAAGACTGGGTGGAAGGAGCAAGGGTAAGAGAGATGAAGGGGGAGAGTCCAGGAGGCCAGAGAGGAGGAATGCTACAAGCCACAGTAAGAATGAGCTGTATTTAATTTAAAAAAGGGAGAAGGGGTGTACCCCACAAATGATACAGTAATGAGGATACACAAATCCCATAGCATGACTGAAGGCTTTCACTGTGTTTGACGTCATCACAATGGAAGGCATAAAAAGTGGAGTAACTCAATGTTGATACAGTCCAATCTAGTCCATTAGGCAAGATGGTGCAAGAAGTCATTTAAATTAAAAGTGCCCTACCCTTACCTAAATGGCTAGCAGGCATGGAGAACACTACAATGATAACCCACAGAGTTTTCTCCATGTAGCTATAAAAATGTGTTGTCGAATGGCACACTGTCAAACACTGGAAAGGGGTGCCACAATGGACTTCTCTCTTTTATAGGTACGAATGCTAGATTCAACTATCTCAACTAAGCAGGAAGTGGGCTCTTCCGCTAGGAATGCCAACCCTAATTCACTTTGTCTTGAAATATATACAGATTGTTTGTAGTAGCTACAGCAATGATATTTTCCTTGGGGTGCCAGGCCGTATGAAGGATTTTCTTATTGAAGTCTAGACTGTCAACACTTATTTCATCTTTCTTTCGCTTGCCGCTTGCACAGACTTTGCGTGGCTTCAAAACCGTGCGAGGCTTATTGTTTTCTCGTGATGCTTCTAGAGTTATATCTCGCTTTGTGTTCCTGTCGAACATTCTGAAGAAATTATTATAAGATCCAGTCATGACAACGCTGTGGAAGTAGAAGAGTCAGTCAAATAAATGAACAAAGGGCTGTGTATTTACTAAAATGGTTCTTGGTTAAACCTAACCCAGTACTCTACAGAAAGTAGCTACTTCAAGCAGAGTTGAATTAAGAGGCTGCTGGCAAAACTCAATCAATCATTGGAATAAGCCAGAAATATATGAGTTAACTTGGTTCTAACAAAACTATAACAAAGCTGACAGATTCTCAAGTAAAACTTCTCTTAGTACTGACCAATCCAGCCAGCCAGCTGCTGTTTTTTTTTTTTTTGTACTAGGAAATAAACCCAGAAGCACTTACTCACTGAGCCACATCCCCAACTCTTAAAAAATTTTTGTTAGTTCTTTTCAGATATACATGACAGTAAAGTGTATTTTGACATACACACATGCAGTATAACTAGGATCCCATTTTTACGGTTGTATATGATGTGGTGTTTCCCTGTGTCTTCCTATATGAATATGGGAAATTATGTCCAATTCATTCTATTCTTTCTTATCTGCCCCATGCCCCACTACCTGCCAGTCTTTCATTAAGTTGCTTAGGGCCTCACTAAATTTCTGAGGCTGGCCATGAACTTGTAGTCCTCCTGCCTCAGCTTCCTGAGTAGCTGGGAGTCCACATGTGCCAGCACACCTGGTCTGGTCAGCTTCATAAAGGAATAACCATCATGGGATTTCTGAATTCTATTCTTCTCCCAAATGCGTACAAATAACTATTCATAAGAAACCAATGCTTATTTTATGATATAAATTATAAGCTATTTAACTTGTCTCAGTGTACATCTAGTTCAGATAATATTTTATGAATGCTTATGATAAATTTGCTCTTGAGAATATCAAGTAGCATATGATATTTTTATCAATAGAAAATCATTTCAGAGATGGGGTTGTAGTTCAGTGGTTGAGCGCTTGCCTCGCATGTGTGAGGCACTGGGTTTGATCCTCAGTACCACATAAAAAAAATAAAAAAATAAAGATATTGTGTCCATCTACAACTTTGCTTGCCTAAGACACTCCCGCACTATACCTTTTTGGGATATTAGGGTCTCATAACTTTCCTGAGGCTGGCCACAAACTCACTATCCTTGTGCCTCAGACTTCTGAGCTGCTGGGATTAAAGATGGGCACCATCACCCCCAGCATCAAGACACTTTCTTGTCACTTCTATTTGCTACCAATCACTGCTCAACATTCACCAAGTATTCTCAAAGGCAAAAATTCACAAGTGTGAAACCCTTAGTAGTTTGGAAATAAAGGTCCATTGCTTAAAAAAAAAAAAGGGGGGGGGGGGGGAACTACTACTCTAGTTCCACTATTATGTACTACCTCCTTCTCACAGGTTCAAATTATTACTGTAAGTGAAATGATAGGACACTAAGGATTTGTTCAAAGTTATACTTATCTCCTCCATATAAGGGACTATTATTATTACTATTATTATTATTATTATTATTATTGAGAACAATTTTAACCAATCTGAAGTTGGTGCCATGTCCCTGAAGATAATGAACTGTTATTGCTTTTAAATGATTTACGTAAATGAGACTGGTATCCCCATATTCTCTGAATTTGTGAAGTTTCAATGGATTAAAGACACTGAATCTTTGGCTATTTTTAATTTTAAAAGGAATCACCAGGCCAGCATTTTTGTGACATCCCTACCCAAAATGTATAACCTGAATTTAATCATGAGAAAACATCAGACAATCTTCAATTAAGAAACACTGAAATGAAGAACTGTTCAAGAACAAAGAATACAACTACATACGACAAATTTAACACAGGATCCTAGAATATGTGCTTTACCAGATTCTTTGCTAAAGGACATAACTGAGAAAACTTGTAGAAATGTAAAGAGATCTGTGGATTAGATGACAGTACTACATCAACATGAGTTTCTGCTTTACATGCCTGTACTGTCACTTTGTGGGAGCGTGTATGCCTTTAGGAAAGTCATTACACAAATTCAAAGGTAATGGACTTCGCATGTGGTGCTTATGTAAAACTGGTGCAAAATTAAAATGTGACAAATTAATGTGCACCCACTGCCCCCACTTCATGAGGAAACAGGTACATCATATCCTATTACATCAGTACCTTCTTTCTCTTCAAATCTGTCTATTCCCAACACGCCCTTTCCCGCTTTTCCTTTTTTCTGACTCCTCAGATTCAGTAGTGGCATTCCAAGTGTTTACTTATTCCTACCAACAGGATTCTCTGCTTAGTACGGCCAAACTAATATTGGAACTCATGCTAATATAAAAACCAGACAAAAGGTATTTGTTCCAAGTACTACTACCCTTGATAATACCTTATTATGAAACTTGAACCATATAAAGCTTCTATGATAAAACTACTATAAAATAAAATACCTCTACTTTAAATACAAGTTTTAGAAATTATGTTTTAATTGGAACACATTAAGTGATAATACAGAAGATTGAAAATAAGACTTATTTAAACTTTGGAAATAATGACATACATTTCGATGAAATAGCAGCTAACCTCCTGCTTCAAGCCCCCAAGTAGGCGGGACTACAGGTGTGTACCACCTCAGCCAGTGAGAAAAGTGATTTATCTGGTTCATAAAGAAAAACACCTGAAGACATCCAAATAATAATTTAGATAAAACCATTTGTTGCAGATGTTTTGTTTCATATTACTAGTGAAATCAATACTTAATTTTTATCATAGTATTGCTATGTTACATCTAAAATTACTAAATTTACTTTAAATTTCCCTTGGTGGAAAATGAAGTAATCTATGTTAACTTAAAAAAAGTTGGTCAAGAGGGTTGGGGTGGTGGCTCAATGGCAGAGCACTTGCCTGGCATGTGTGAGGCCCTGGGTTTGATTCTCAGCACTATATATGAATAAATAAAACAAAGGTCCATTGACAACAAAAAATATTAAAAAAGAAAAAGTTGGTCATGCTGGGCACAGTAGCGCATGCCTGTAATCCCAGCGTCTTGGGAGGCCGAGGCAAGAGGATCATGAGTTCAAAAGCAGGCCTCAGCAAAGGCAAGGTATTAAGCAACTCAGTGAGACCCTGTCTCTAAATAAAACACAAAATAGGGCTGAAGATGTGACTCAGTGGTCAAGTGCCTGAGTTCAATACCTAGAACCGCCCTCCCAAAAAATTAGCCATCTTTTCTAGCTAATATGTCAATTATAATATGAGGTATGCAATGGCAAGTTTCTTTCTAATAAAATTCCTATTAGAATGAGAGATTCAAATTAAAATGAATTACCTGTCAGACCCATTCCAACAGCATTCAAATTTGTCAAATATGCAGTCATTTTCATACAGTGAACAGAGTTTACTTCTGAGGTATTCATGTACCTGGGGAAAAGACAAAATAGTTTACCTAAAGAGCCTATGCACTCAAATTAGGAAAATGAATTTAAAAGTCCCTATCTTTATTTTAAAAAAAAGATACACACACCCCTAAACATCTTAAATCTCAGTACTCTTGGTAACAATAATAGCAGTTTTAAGAGTCTTTTACAAAATACAAACCGCCTTTTAGGGAAGCACATTTTCGTGTAGTACAACAGGGAAAAAATCGCTCTGGCACGCCACATATATCCTGAAATGCCCGACTAAATCACTCAAGCCAGAAAATATTTGGAAACGGAAGAGACTAAGAAAAGAACACAAGAGCAATATGTGATCATCCCTACTTGGTTTTCAGTCCACTAACTGCTGATAAAACACTGCTTACTTCTTTTAAAATGCCATTTTCTGGGCATAGATTTAAACTTGGGCTTATATTTTTAAGTAAATGCATATGCTAGGCACAGTGCAGTGAAGCCTTGGTTTGGTTATTAGATATGCATCATTTAAAATGTTGATGGTATCACTCCATATTACTTACACAATGTCAAAAGCTAATTAAAATGTATCTGTTTTTAAATTCCGTATTTACTGATATTTGAAAAAATATGGAAAATAAGAAGATTGAGAAACACGATACATTTCAATATTAACATTGCTAAATTAACAAAGAAAATGCCACAGTATTTGTTGTGATCAGAGGGAAAAAAGGAGACTTATTGACTATTCTTTTTACTGAAACAGAAGTAATAATAAAGTATACTCTAAATCAGAATTATGCTTTCCACAACCTAATCTTATTTTAATTGTCCATTTTACTTTTAGTACAGAGAACTTGCAACTTTTGTGGGTTTAGGATTGAACATGGGTAACTAATGTGAAAAAAAATGAAGATGAAAGTATCCCCCAATCACATATAACAGAGCGAATCAAGACTGTACAAATTCAAAAAAATTATGAATTTATATAGGCTATATGTGCATGAGGTGACACTAAATTATTAATCCAGTTTAGCATTGGCAGGAATTGGGAAATCAGGTAACACATCTGCTAGGTTACTGTGATTCAGCACATTTTACAATGCATGTAGTTTGTACAATGTTCCTCACCAAATGATTCAAGAGTATGAAGCTAAGGTCCAAATGAATAATTCTCAATGGGAATGGGGAGATGCTAAGGTTAACCAGGAGATACATTAACCTTTGCAGTTACACAAACATAAAGAATTAACAAAAGCACATACATACATATTCTTACTTCTTCTTGGGTACTGAATCCAAGGGCACTTTACCACTGAGCTACAATCTCAGCCTATTTTATATTTTGAGACAGGGTTTCGCTAGGTGGCCTAGGCCGTCCTGTAATCTTCCTGCCTCAGCCTCCGACATGGCTGGGGTTATAGGGTGCCACAATGCTAGCACCCAAATGTATTTTGAAAACAAAGCAGTACTTCACATCTTTGCTTCTGTTTCAATGTAGTGTTTTACTTTGAAATTTCCAAGAGAAATTTCACTGAGAATCTTGAGTGGTTTATGTGTCTGTGAAAGGATACTTAGTCTGAGAAATTCTGTTCTTTGATTTTTATTGGGACTGCGTAACATAAAGGGATCATTTATAACCTGTGTATTCCTAGGCAGCATTAAGTGTCTTCTACACTATTATAGTCCAGGGCATAACAGGTTTCTGTTGGCCTATGCCCCATGCTGGGCTGTGCGCTTCATTTCTTATCTCTGGTGGAGGGCAGATGAGTAAAGGGTAGTGGCTGGCTGCCTAGAAGAGAATCCTGAACTGATACTCCTTAATAAGCAATTCCTAAGCCACCTTTTTAGCTTTCAAGCCCCTTTCCTTTAGGTCAAAGACAATACTTCCAGCCCACAAGACACTTGAGTCACACAACTAGGCACACCAAACTGAAGCTCTCATTCAACCACTCCACATGTTCCCCAGCCGCAGCTTGTACAACCCTATCAGGACTATACTGCCCAGACCTTAATAAAGAATGCAGCTTCCTTCCCACATTATATATACATACATCTCAGCACACAAAGTTGACAATATTGAACCAAACAGATAATAAAACCACAATTCAGGGGCATTGGAAACGCTCAGTATATAAACACACACACACACACACACACACACACACACACACACACACTCTTAACATGAGGAAAAGCAACATATCCATGGGTCTCTGAATGGAAAATCTAATGGTTAACACACACAGTACATTCGGATTATCACATAGTAAAAAATCCTACTCTATGAACACTTCCAAGTAAATAAGGTAGATGCTCATTGAAAGAAAAAACTCAAATACCTGGTATGTTTCCACGGGCCTGTTTTCCATATTTAAATCCCAAATTTTGACCGACAAATAGTCTCTAGTCATCATATAGCGACCACTATGGCTGAATTTTACATCAGAAATAGAAGAGATGATTTCAGAAAAAAATGACCTGTTACTGGGGTCTTCAGGTTCTTCAAACACTAAAAACAAGCCAAAAATGAGAGGGGGGGGAGGGAGGGAGGGAGAGGGGGAGAGAAGGAGAGAGGGAGAGAGGGGGAAAGAGAGAAGTGCAATATGAACAATATTCTGACTTAAACAAAAAATTTTCTGAACAACCATTCATAAACATTCTAAGAATGAAGTAAAAAAATCACAAGCTAATAAAAAACTGACGATTCTTTATCAGATGATTTTTTTCCTCTCTGGCTTTAATATGAACGTAATTCCCCTAAAAGTTTAAGAAAATGACATACATGATTGAGGGGATTGTTATTAACTAGGGATTGAACCCAGGGGCTCTTTACCACTAAGTTATATTTCTAGCCCTTTTATTGCTGGGATTACAGGCATGTGTCTGACAAAAATGACCTGATATTGAAAGTTGAAGATACAAAAGTGTATACTTCCAAAGTCATATGGCTAATTTAGTAGAACCAGACCCACCTGAGACTGTGACTTCAGTGTACCAGACTGGTATATTCTACAAAATACCTGACTCTACCTATATCATCAAGGTGAAAAACATGCCATCCTCACCCATCCAAATTTATACCAGGATTTTTCTAGTGGCTATGTAAAATTATTTTCATAATAGCCTGTTAGGAATTCCTGAGTTTTAACAACATTGAATTACAGGATAAGAATATTGCAACTCCTAATTTTTTTTAAAAAACCAAACTATGCTTTTGCATATTAAGGAACAACCTGTGTAATACCTTATGGTGTCAGGCAGGTTACCAGAGTACAGGAGGCTCTGGACACATATGACTGAGGTGAGTTCCAAACACATTAACTGCTATTAAGAAAGATAAAATAAACTTACGTTTAGAATGCCTATCACAGAGGGCAGATGCCCTCATGTCACATAACCGAATAGTTCCTTTACTGCTGCTGTACACAAATGTGTTACAGCTATTTGGATGGAATTCTGCTGCTGTGATCACTTCTGTGAGCTCTTCCATATTGGCAGGCTTGATATCCACAATATCTAGATAGGATTTTATTAAGGAATTTTCACTTGAAAAAAAAACAGGCAAATATAATTCTGCACATCTCAAATCTAAAATGAATTCATAAACCTAACAGTAAGTATTAAGTCTGAATTGCAGCCTACTCTTTTGTGAGTATAGATCCCAGAAGTATTAGAACTTTTAATGCTAAAAACCAAATAGCTCTCAGGAACAGAAAAATTTTAGATTGTAGAAGTCTTCCCAATTATGATACAAATGCCAGAAATCCTAAAGGAAAGACCAAGAAATTTGTCTTCACAACTATTAGAGAAAACCAAAGCACACACCTCAAGAGGGTAAAAAAGGGATATTATTTCTCAATCAACTCAATACAAAAAAAGTATTTTAAATTAAAATATGTGTACATGTAAATCTAGGGGGAAAAATGGAAAAGAATAAAAAAAAAATACAAATACAAGTGACTGAATATAAAAAGATGCCTGAATCAACTCATTAAAAAAAAAGAAAAAGCCTCTTTTTAAAAAATATTTACTTTTAGCTATAACAATATTTTTATTTTTATGTGGTGCTAAGGATGGAGCCCAGTGCCTCGTGCATGGTAGGCGAGCACTCTACCTCTGAGCCAAATCCCAACCTGACAAAAGACTTTTTCTCACTAACTAGACTGGTAAAGACACAGAAAAATAGGCTCTTATATACTATTGATAGAGTATGAATTATGATAAAGATTTTTTAATTTTTGAAACAATAAGCTATTTGAAAAATACATAGACAACTACCACTGATCAAGGTTTTAAAAAAGAAATACATTTCTATATTTATATCTATATTATATGAATGTGCACAGGTATATAGGTTGATATATCACATACATATATACAGGAAAATTTCAGGAGGTTGGTATAAAGAGCAAAAATGGGGTTTGAATAACTTCTTTTGACATCATATCATCTTTCATCATAACATACATGAATTTCCTTTTCCAACACTAATGAAAATATTTTTATAATTAAAATTTCAAATATAATACTCAATAATTTTTTCAACCAAAAACTCAATTATTAAAAAACCAAATTCCTATTTTCATACATACAAATCTCTTAAAATTCCATGAATCAATTTTGAAATCAATTCATCAAGCCATTTATCTTTATCAAGTAACTTTTCCCCTGTGTTATCACTTAAATACATGGAAAAAATAAGATGCCACCTATATTAAAAGATATTTTAAAAAGATATCAAATATATGAAAGAATAAGATGAATTTAATATGGGCATAATATGCTTTCTTTACCAAATACCAAAAACCAAAACAAAGTGGATACTAAAACTTCTGTCTGTAATTTCCAGATGCCAAAGATTAATCCGCAAATCATCAGCAGATAAATAAGTTTCATAATCACTATTTATAGAAATTGAGTTGATGTGGTATGTATGAGCATTGGCAAATATTCTTCGCGGACTAGCCTCGACCATTAGATCCATGGGTCTAAAGACTGGCACCTGTCAATAAGACATGAAAAAAAACCCCAGAATTTACAGTAAGTTCATTAAGCAGTGAAAGTTGAGAACACTTCATTATTTTAGTTTGTGAGAACATAAAATAGCATAATATCACAGACTTAAAAAGCAACTGATGCTGATCTTTTCAATTTGAAATGGGAATAAAAAAGAAAACAATGTGGACAATTTGCTGCCTTTGTTCCAACCATTTACTTGAAAGATACTAAATATTTGTGGTTCAAATTAATGAGGTAAAAAAAGAAATTAAATCAAAGCACTTAGTATTTTTTAAGTTACAACTAAAGCATATACTCCCTTTGCACTTTTTTGATCTCTGAAGAAAAACGAATCTTCAAATTTAATCTTGTAATAACGGACATTCCAACTATGAAAAAGAGCAGTGGTACAGTATAAAACATGCTCTTGTGTTTTAGTCCTAGTTCTGACCAGGCTACAAGAAGACCTCTGTTTAGTTCAGTTTCTATCTTTAAATGAGAGTAACTCAATGTCTTACCTTGTTACAGAACTGCTGGTGGGGGCTGAGAATTGCAATTGCAGTTATTCCTATTCTGTTCAGAATCTAGGCTATACGTGGTATGAACATAAAATCCTATCCATCTGAATCATTTTTTAAGTACTTACTCGTAGTGTAGTAACTGTAGTAGGATCTCTATACCTTCCATCTTCCTCTTTCAAGTTATAGCCTTCTGGTCTTTTATCCCTTTCACTGATTTTCCATAATTTTATTGTTTTATCTGAGGAGAGAATAATAAATGTCCTCAAAAATAAATAATACTAATAAAGAAGTTTAAGACGTAACTTTACATTTCACCTATAAAAATTCTAATTATCATGTAAAAAAATACACAAAACTTACAAATTTATATATTAATGGCAATCATACAAATTCCATGTGCTATTCAAGTCAAGCCACAGCCAGATCTCAATCCTTTAAAGAATTAAAACTACATGGTAGTGGCTGGGGGCTGTAACTCAGTGGTAGCGCACTTGCCTCACAGGTGTGAGGCCCTGGGTTGGATCCTCAGCACCACATAAAACATAGGTATACAAATATGCTCAGTATCTAACTCAAAAAAGTTAAAGAGAGTGAATAATAAACTTCCTTCACATTGCTTATTATTTACAACTGGAATGGCAAGGCATCTCTCCCTCAGTCCACTCTCTAAGCATATGTTATCAAAGATCCACAGATTCCTTCATAGCCCTGGATGCCTCCATTTAAATATGTCTTTCCCCTGTATCAGGGATTCCTAAGTGTGAAACAGCTCCCCAAAACAAAAACAAAAAAAATTGATTGAATGAAAGCATATGCCCCAATTCCTTCAAGACAAAATTTCTGAATAAACTTTACACAGTTATCTTGTCCCCTCTCCCCTTCCCCTGACCCAGGACACAAGACTGAACTCAAGGCCTTGTGCATATCAAAGAAGTGCTCAGCCACTGAGCTTAATCCCCAACCCCTAAAAATAAACTTTTACTTTGGATTTCAGTTTAGACTTAAAAAAATGTTGCAAAGACAGGAGTGTACCCTTCCCGCAGATTGCTCTGATGCCAGCATCTTATGCAACTTTGATAGGGTTGTCAAAACTAGGCTTCCCTAACACACAAGCACACCACCCCCCCTGCCACACTCTATTCTTTGGAAGTGAGTCATTAGGTTCAGTTCACACTTAGAGCAATTTTATAAAAGCAATGCAAAAACAATTTCTAGAGAGAGATACCAGTGAATCTCTAGCCTGGTAATCTTTATTTCCTTTGTTTAAAAGAGTGTTTGTTCCTGTAGATGCTCTTCTCAAAAACAAAACAAAACAACAACTAATTATAGTAACCTATAATCTATTCCTTCTAAATTCTATGTAATCCTGTTTATAATTCTCTTGCATCTAAGTTCTATGTGTTTCCTATGTACTATTTAGTGTGTATATTTATATAATTTTTTACCATGTAACTGTTTTTTAAAAGTTATATATGAACACAATATTTTTATTTTGTTAACTTATTTTTATGTGATCTGAGAATTGAAACCAGTGCCTCACATGTGAGAGGCAAGCACTCTGCCACTGAGCCGCAACCCCAGCCATATTTATATAATTTAGACAGAAGTACTGCCTAAATTCTATATTCTGGGACAAATAAATATCTGAAATCACTGATAATAAAGATGACAACCCTGTTACCCATCGCTACAGCTGTCTTGTGGCCTGTTTAAATTCATTATCTTTAATGACAATCCAGATTTTCAAAAATTACAATATACTTTATCAAACATTTAGAAGAGATGAAATTAGTTTATGTTCCTTGCAGTATTACGGGTGGGGGGGGACGGGGGGACCACCCTAAAAACAAACTACCTAAAGACTTGAAAGATTATGTAAGATCTTTCAAGGAGAGGATTTTTAGATTCTCAATGAGATCTGCTCCTTCCATAACCTCCACTCAAATTTCCTAAAACTGCCAAATAATTAAAAATTCTAGAAGCCCAAAGTCCCTGGGGTCCATCTGCCAAACACAGAGTCAGAGCAGAGAAACATGCCACCAAGCCCTCCTTTGTGGGAATGCAGCTTTTGTCTAAAACTCAAAAACTTAAAAGCTTTGAGAACAACCTACTTTTGAGTGCAATTCGTTAATATTTGTATATTTAAGACTCATGGCCAACAGGCTGATCAGATGTTTTTAAAATATGGAGGCATTAAAAAGGAATCAGAGAAGCTAGGTATGGTAGCATGCACCTGTAAACCCAGGGGCTCAGAAGGCTAGGGGAAGAGGGTTGCAGGTTCAAAGCTGCCTCACCAACTTAGTGAGGCTGTAAGCTCTGTCACAAAATAAAAAAATAAAAAGGGCTGGGGATATGATTCAGTGGTTAAGGGCAGCTGGATTCAATCCCGGGTGTGTCCCTCCACACACACACACACACACACACACACACCAGAGAAAGGCGAAAGATTAAAAAAAAAAAGAATCAAAAACATTTGAATTTTAAGTGAGTTCACTACATCCCATAGTAGTAGTTCTGAACTTATTTTTATGACTATAAAGACCCCTTACACTGGGGTACAGGGGGTATTATGCTAATTCTCACAGAGAAAAACCACACAAAATAAAGATCTCACTCAGATTTATCAGATGTTATTTCTCCTGACCTGCATTTTTGTCCTTTTAAATAAACCTTTCAGATGTAGCTTAAGTCCTACTCCTTCCTCTATCCTTTCTGCATCCTATCACCCAGGCACAACAGCTTAGAAAATGCCCATGCCAAGTTTATCCTCCCACCTTGGATCCTATTTTTTAAGTACTACTTTTAGCACACCCACAAACAAAATAATGCATTCTCAATTTATTTGTGTTTTATTTAGAATTCATCAAGACAAAAATTTACAATGTACTCACTGTATAGTGTGCCTTCAGATAATTTGTAACACTAGTCAAAAACTTTGCAAGTTTAAATTTACGTACTAAATCTATTTGGGAAATACTGTTAATAAAAACTACAGAGTCATACACTGTTGATCCAGCCACTGGAATTTCTAGCGGCCTCTCTCGCCACTGAGTTTTTATAACATTTAGGGTCTAGAAAGGCTCATCTGGTGATTATGTTTCCAGAGGAGCACAACAAAGGCTCTACAGAACACATGTAGACATAAAAAGAAGTGAAGGATAGTTAAAATTTAATCCACATGAGTTGAAAAGGCATTTGCTTCCAAATAACACAGAAGAAGGAAGAAGTAATGACAACTGCTGAAACTGGGAGACAGGCATGTGGGCTTCATTATACTATTCTCTCTACTTCAGTCTACACTTAAAACTTTCTTTTGTAAAAAATAAAATGATATAGTCTATAAGAAATGAGCTGCCAAAAATTATTATGAATATTCGAATACTTGATGACCGTAATTGCTATTTTACTTTTCAAAGTAGGATCCTGCATTATTTCACATCAATGAAAATGAGTCTTAGAATAATTTACTTTACCATATAAATTAAAACAAAAAAAATTAGAAGCCAACACGTAACAGAAGTAAATGTACTACTTCCACCTATGATGCCGTGAGTTAAAGGCTTTAGTTACTTTATTTTTAGTGAGAGGACAATGCAGTTTATGTGAAAAGAGGGGGAGGCAGAAGATACAGATTCAACAGGCTGATATAGAGATCTGATAAGAAAAACGGTTCCCTAAGAGGAGGTAAAATGGCATCAGGAGTTGCAATATTTTGTTGACCACATTTCTAAGATTTCAGTATAAAAGGGCTATGAGGCATAAACTGGATGAAGGGGCATTCAATGTCGTCTGGCATGTTATCACAGAAGCCATTTGAGTTTATACTCTGCAAATGCTGAGGTCTAGGTGCTAGAATTTCTCCTATTAATAGCAAGGGGGGCTGAGAAAATGAGATGTTTCTCCCAACCCTTGTTCCAGTCTCAAAAAAAGATTTAAAATCTAAAATTCTATATACTTGCTATCTGGTTTCTGAAATATCTCCTCAAATCACTGTAATGATTCTCGGGTAAGCCAACAGTGATTTATAGGGAAAAAAATACAAAGGAACAAAAGGAAATTTTCCAATACTTAACTTGTCATAAAGGGCTTCAAATTATAGAGTCAACTCTAACCAGCATATAATAGAACTTAGGTACACTTAGAAAGAAGGAGGAAAGGGAATTAACATACTCCTTATGTAAGCAAAGTTATTAAATTTAATACAATAATACTATAATACAGACATTACCGTCTCTAGTTTACTGATGAGGAAAATTCAACTGAGTATTAGTAACTTGCACAAAGCTACGAAGTTGAACAGTGACAAAAATAGCACCAACCTAACCCAATGGTGAAGCAGCTTGTTCTTTTCACTACAAATAGGACATGCATTAAATAACTGGTACTCGAGAATCTAAAAATTGAGAGAGGGAGGGAGGGAGGGAGGGAGGGAGGGAGAGGGAGGGAGAGAGAAGTAGAGAGAAGTTTCTTAATGTCTCTTCACAGAGAACTCTTATTATGAGCCCTCTTGGAAAAGGTGAGCAGCCCTGTGGGACAGATTCGAGCAGTAGGCATTGAAGAGGACATGTGCACTTACCATTGGTAGACAATAAAAACTGAGCAGCATTTTTCTGGGGTAACCACCTAATTTTGTTGATCTTTTCTTCTATTTCTAAACTTTTCAAGTAGTCAAATTCTGGTTCATGGCTCTGGAAGGTGCTGTAAACATTATATTCTCCTCTGCTATGAGACTGTATTTTGTTCTAAAATGAAAACAAAAATATTTGGATCATTGTTGATTAATATTTCAAAATAATATGTAATCAATTTCAACACATCCTGCAAATCCTGGATAGTCCATTAGTTATCTTTATCTTAAATACAATTATATTCTGTTTTCTTCATTTAAAGGTCGTTAAGGAATAAATAAGAAAGCTTTGGGGGGGGGGGGCTAAAGCTCAATAAATAAGCTTCATTCAATGGGCAAGGAGTGGATTAATCGAATTACTAATTTACAATTACACATCACATAGTTTGGAGTCATACTGATAAAAACAACAATCCTGAACATTTATAATTATGAAGTTTATCGAAAAACCAGATTTTTTTTTTAAAGCTTGCTCAGAAAAAGCTGGCTGAGGCTATACTTTGTCTACCTTAGGGAGTCAATTCCCACCTGTTATTTAATGTTTTTTCCCTTATCCTTTCTGATGCCTGTCTTTTGATTATTTCACTGCTGAAAAGACTTAAAAGTTCTCAGAAATGCAATGACCTCATTACATTTATGTGAAAAGAGGGGGAGGCAGAAGACACAGATTCAACAGGCTATCCCAAGACCACTGTTACACAGAACATGGCTACTGATTAAATATACATTCAGCATTAGCCAGCAACATCCTTCCCATTCCACCAACAAGTGCTTACCCTTAAACTACCCTTCTTATCTTCTTATAAGCCTTATACATACTGATGATTTATTTCATTTAGTATCAGCTTGAAAAAATATAATTTAAATTGTTGGATAAAGGTACTACTTGTAAACTTTTTCAGTTAACACTTAATACCTCAGTAAAAAAATGAGAATTATAATAATATTTACAATTTCATCTTCTGACTACATAATTAAATAGCCGATCAAAAAAAATTGTTCAAAAAAAGAACCAATGGAAAAACAGTTTAAAACAAAGAATAATTGGTTATTACTGATGGACAACTATTTTAAATAAACATAAGTTATCAAGTGAATTTTTTAAGCTCACTCATCAGCATTTGCCTATTATGTCTGAGGCCCTGGGTTCTATCCCCAGCACCACCAAAAAAAAAAAAAAAAAAGGAAGAAGAAGAAGAAATCCTATTATTAGTCTCCATATCAAAAGAAAACCTTTATTAGATTAAGTTTCAGGTTATTTTTTCCCCCAATAACTTGATGATCTGGATTGCTCATTCATGGACACGATTATACTGGAGTCCTTGGATAACAGTATCAATTATTAGGGAGTAGGTTTGCTGACATTAATACAAAGCATACCACAGAACTTAAGCCACCTTGGAGATTTGCAGGGAGTAATAAAAATCATATTCAGAGCTTTGGTCTCATTACCATAAATATATACACTTCAGAAGAAATGCCGTAAATTTTACACCTAACATTACTAACCCAGTCTCACAAGATTTTTCATTATATACCAAAAAACTGCAATATATAAAGTAGCAATTCAATTTTTTATATATTCTGTTTTGAACTTTGTCTTTTCATTAAACACTTGTCTAAGGGACTACAGTCTATAGTACCATGTTTACTAAGACCTAGGTGGGACAGAGATTTAACACAGAATCCCCACCTTCAAATAACTTTAAGTTAAACTTGAGTCAAAAGCAAAAACTGATCAAGGTCCATACAACTCAGGTCACCAATGTAAAGAGCAAGGGCGAAACATACAATATATTTTTGGAGTAAAGAAAGAACAATGTATGAAAATATGTTCAGAAACAAAAGAAGAAAATCCTTCTGAAAACTCAAGAACAGCAGCATGGGTCGAAACAAAATTTCAAGGAGTTTGGCAACTGCAATGGACTGCAAGAAGCACGATCTATTCGCAACAGGAAACAAAAATACATCACAAATACATCACACAAGGAGAAAATTATGTCTAAAAAAGTTGAAAGATGTCAGTCACATATTAGCCTCTCCTCTCCTGAAACACCACTAAGTTACAGAAGAATTCCTAACGACATGCTCATAGGACAAAGACTAACAGCAGAGATGACAGGAGCAGTAACAGAAAACAAACAGATGCCCGAGTGGCGATGTACAGCAGACTGGGAAAGCTGAGCCCTCAGCCAGCATAGGACTTTCCTACAACTTGGCCAGGGGGCGTTTAGATTATAATGATCAGAACAGCACTGTTCTCTGCATGAATCAAGTACGGCAAGTGAATGTGAAGAAAAAATCTTGTGTGTTCAACATTGTGCCACTTAAAAAAGACGTCACCCAAAATCAAAGAAGTTTTCTGAATTTTGTTTAAGAAACATAAACTCTTACATCACAGAGGGTCATGACACTTTTTGGTGGTAAAGTGGATTACTTGGGATTGATCCCTGGGGTGCTTTACCACTGAGCTACATCCCCAGCCTTTTTTATTTTTTATTTTGAGACAGGGTCTCACTAAGTTGCTGAGGGCCTCCCTAAGTTGTCGAGGCTGGCCATGAACTTGTGATCATCCTGTCCCAGGCTCCCAGGTTGCTAGGATTACAGTCATGTGCCACTGTGCCCAGCCCAGTCCTATTTACTTTGAGACAATCTAGATATTTGTTATATGAAAAAGTACTAGTGTTCTGTGTATTTTTCTAAGTATGTTTAGTTAATGATGTTAAAAATACACCACATACACAGTGTAGCCACTATGGAAAACACTATGCACCCACTATACAGAGGTTCCTTAAAACAAAACAAAACAACAGAACTACCATAGGGCAATATCTTTCATGTATAAGAAGTCTTTAAAAACCCTTAGGAAAACTATTAACACTTCTCTTAAAAGATGCCAAAGGTCATAAACAGAGAATTCACATAAAAATGGTTAGCAGATATGCACATATGACTACATTAGTAATGAAAACTAAGTAATAATGCCCTCTTCCCCTTTCTTGTGATGCTGGGAATGTGAACCCCTGGCCTCACCTGTGGTAAGCAAGTGCTCTAACACTGAACCTTTTTCATTTATTTTGAGACAGGGTCTTGCTAAATTGCACAGTCTGGCCTCTGACTTGGTTCCTCCTGCCTCAGCCTCCCAAGTAGGTGGAATTAGAGGCGTGCACCACTATGTCTTGTTGTTTCTTCCCCTTAAACTGACAAAAAAACGTAAAACCTGATAATGACTACTATTGTAGTGCTGGAAGAATGAACAAAAATCATATACTAGAAGTACATGCTTACATAACTTTTCTGGAGGCCATTATTCCAAAGTTTACTTATTTAAATTTTTTTTAAGAGAGAGAGAGAATTTTTAATATTTATTTTTTAGTTTTTGGCGGACACAACATCTTTGTATGTGGTGCTGAGGATCGAACCTGGGCCACACGCATGCCAGGCGAGCATGCTACCGCTTAAGCCACATCCCCAGCCCCCCAAAATTTATTAATATTAAACGCTTTCAAAAATTAGTAATTTTATGTCATAGTGTGATCTACTGAAAAAAAAATGTGTAAAGATGTATGAATAATGATGCAATAAAGACCCAAATGTCCAGAAGATCAAGTAAATTCTACGATACTATAATCAATTAAATCCATACTGCAGATCAATGGCTCACCATTTTAATCTCTGTGAAGTGCTTCCTTCTGTCTTCTGCCAACCCCCAACATGCTTATCAAACCCTGTCCCTGAAGTTACAAAAACAGAAAGTGTTCCTCCCAAGTACACACTTTGTTGTATTCAAGGTTCCAACAAAAGAAGCCATATATCAATCTGAGAAAACATGAACTTTTTTTGGTGGGGGTGATGGGGCAGGTGGAGAAGTAGGAGGAATTGAACTCAGGGGCACTCGACCACTGAGCCACATCCCCAGCCCTATTGTGTATTTTATTTAGAGACAGGGTCTCACTGAGTTGTTTAGTGCCTCGCCACTGCTGAGGCTGGCTTTGAACTCACAATTCTCCTGCCTCAGCCTCCCGAGCCTCTGGGATTACACGCCCAGCAACAAAAACTAAAACTAAAACTAAAAGTTTTGAGTTGTGAAATATAATTAAATTTGAAAAAATTTCCCTGAGAAAAATCAGCCTTTTTCACACACAAAGGTCTTTATTCATCTAAAGGAATGATTTAGGTTTTTTATTCTTGAAGAAAAAAAACAATAACTAAAGGGGGAAAGAGGCAGTCTCAAAATTTTTGGTTGAAGTATCAATTTTTTAATTCCCTAAAAGGCATTTACTGACTATGGAAGAGGTCATTCATAATAGCAACTATAGGCTGAGTACAACAGGTTGAGTATCCTTATCTGAAATGCTTGGGGAACCAGAAATGTTTCAAATTTCACATTTGGGTATATACAAAATAAAATATCTTGGGGTTAGGATTCATGTCTAAACACAAAATTTGTTTCATATATACCTTATACATGGAGTTTAAGATAACTGTGCCAGGCAAGCGCTCTACCACTGAGCCACAACCCCAGCCCTGTGTGCATTTTTTTAGTATGAAATACCACATGAGGTTGGGTGTGAAATTTTCTGCTTGTGGTATTGTGTTGGTGCTCAAAAAGTTTTAGATTTTACAGCATGTTAGATTTATCATTTTAAGATTAGGGATGCTCAACCTATATTTTAAAGTCTGAGGATTAAATCTCTTTCTCATTAGATATAACTATTAAAGATTTTTCTGTGATTTATAATTAGTCTCATTACCAAATAGAAGGTGCCCCCCATTTTATAACCAGCATCTAGCAGTGTGAATATTTATCTCAAGTTATAGAGAATTAACTTTTATTTACTTATCTAGCATTACCTAACTTAGAAGCATTACCTAACTTTTTAAAGTCTCAAATTTATAACAAAATCAGGACATAGATAGCAAGCATAAATATGTTTTCTTAATTTGTTGTATAAATTAGATTTATAGACCTTGCAGAGGGTCTGGCACACAAATTGTTACTGCTTCCCAGTCAAAGTAGACAAAGCTATGGGCTGAGAATAAGGACATGTGGGGCTCTGGTATCAAAGTTAAGTAATCGTGTTGCCTGAACTAATTTTTTTTTTTTTTTTTTTA